ATTTTAATTCAAAATTGCCAAAATTATAAATTTTCTAATTTATCTATTGATTTGTTGTTAATATTGGTTCTCACAGTTACCACAAACTAATTAGTTCTTATTTGATTAGACACACATATATATATATATATATATATATATATATAAGTTTCATTTTGACAATATATGCATAACTGCTCTGTTACCCTTCTACAAACATAACGACTACAAGCCATCCTCCTTGATTAGCACCTTTAAAGAAACAACCCCTTTAAAACTAATAACCTGAAATATAACACCAAAATTAATAAATGACAAGATTGGATAATAACAAAGCCTTATTTAACAATCTCTAAATTTAGATAAACACCGCAGAAATGATTACAATGAATGATAATTTTTTTAATATATTTCCGCTAATAGGTCAAATTTTTTACGTTGAGAGAAATAATATTTTATTAGATAAATAAGATATTATATTAAGATAATCAATGTTGTAATATGTTAAAATTGAATGTATTTTTGCTTTGAAGATTTTGAAGTTCAGTTCTCCATTTTGAAGAAATCATTGAAGATACTCGTACCAAATTAAGTACATGTTTCTTGCACTTTTTCTTGCAACATCACTTTCAACTCATCAAATTAAGAACCTAAATAGAAAACCTATAATAACAATTCTTATAAAAACCTTCTTAAATAATGATAAAGTCAATAAAATATATAAAAACAGAACTAACAGAACATAACCTTTTACCAAAGTCAAGGTAAAAACCAACATTTTTATATAAAAACTCAAAGAATGAAGCTATATAATAATAATTCTTTTAAAAACACACTTTTTATTTATAAAAACTTTTCATTGAAGATGCTCAAATAAATTGGCAACATTATTGATGAGGAACAATCATCTATACAAATTAACGGTCTATTCAGGTAAAAAGATGTTATTCTGCTTAAGGGATTCTAGCTTCGGTTAGAGCAAAATCCAAAATGGCATAACCAAATAATCAGCCCCAACGACAAATGAAACTAGGGGCGAGACAAATTGCAGCCAATCTTCCTAACCGTGTGTCGGCCGGGATTAGAGTGCATGAGATGTGAAGCGATCTCATACTAAATGAAAGAACTTTCACTTTCCATAACCAAAAGTCATTTCCCGATATATACAATATTTTATAATTTATGATAAAATAGTTTTAAGTATAATATCTCACATTTATCAAATGTATTCGTTATTCCGATTAAGCTCTAAAAGAATTAAAAAGTATTCACAAGGAAAGAACATAAGAACTTTTATAATCAAGGAAAAACCATGTACAAGATATGCTCTGTACAAGATATGCTCTGTACAAGATATCACTGTGTTTAAAATACATCACAAGTTTTTAACCCATAAACGTTAGCTTTTATAACTTATCCACAAAAAAAAAAACAAAAGGAAAAGGAAATTTAAAAACCCGCTAACTTTTCAAACGCTTGTTTCGAACGAGACTCCAACCCCTGTGATTTTTGGAAGTTGACTCGAAGCCGCTTCCAGCCCATGAAACAACTGGATGACATCCATGGTATCATCAAGGTAGTACTTTGCCATGCTTGGTTTTTGGCCAACCGTACAAGCGAACACTTCCACCGACCCTTGTAACGACAAGTTCGCCACCGAACTCGCCATCTTTTCAAACATGTCCTCATCCGACCGATCATCTCCGATGCACAACACAAAATCCAATGGCTTCCCCTTACTTTGCATACTTGCAATTAGATTTTCCACCACCACTCCTTTGCTCACACCCTGCAAATAACGATAGTCGATAAATAAATTCAAGTTCTTTCCAATAAAGTAGCTGATAAGTTGATTTTTTACTGAAACGTTAGTTCATCAACTAGCCATTAAGAACTAGTTTATAAGCTAAATGACAATTTACAAGAAAAAAAAAATGAAAAGTCGATGGAAATTATTGAGACGCTATTTGAAGCCTCGCTTATAAGACTGATAGTTTTTCAATAAATTAAAAGGATAAACCATCTTATGGTTGCTAAACATGGCCAAAATGTCGGGCAATCTAGCTTACTAACCTAGTTACCTTCACCGGAAGCTGTTTTGCAATATGACCTCGTGGCAAGTCAGACGAAGATCAATGAGTTAAAAAAAAGTCATGCTCCTCATTTAAGATCATTTATCCCAACTTTAAAAGTTAAAAGCGACTTGCATTACCTGTGGGTTGACCTCAACGATTTGTTGGCCTCGTTTGACGACCACGGGCTCGTTGGCAAGCACGCTTTCGAGGTGATCGAGTAGCTATTTCGCCTGCCACATTCCAAAATCGGGGGTCGGTATTAAGACCAATAACACAATTGGTCCAATCATTTGATTTAATGCTCTTAAATGGTCATTATTGTCAAATATTGTTCCTCCTTTAGCTCCTTAGATAGCTCCTGTTATTACTCCTTTTCATTGTTGTATATCATCTATACAAACCTCCTATGTATTTAGTTTTGATACAATTGAATTCAATACAATACTATTTTTCCTCTATCTCGTTATATGGTATCAGAGCCATAAAGGCTCCTCCGAGCAATTCTCGATCCCTCTCACAAAAACCCTAAATCACCTTCAAGCACCCATCAATGGCTCCAACCATTCAACTTACTGCCGCTACCCACTTCCCCATTAAACTCATCTCTGTCAATTTCCCTGTTTGGCGCAAACAAGTGGAATCCACCCTAATCGGGTTAGAGCTCGAAGCATTCATCGATGGCAGCCGTGAACCACCAACGAAATTAATCGACGACAAGGCAAATCCAGAATACCTACCTTGGTATCGACAAGACCAAATCCTTAACAGCGCAATCCTTGGAAGCTGCTCAGAATCAATTCAGCCCCTTATCTCGTCTGCAACTACTGCCAGAGATGCCTAGGAACGGTTAAACTCAAGCTTTGCCAGTGCTTCACGTTCCCGAATAATCTCACTCAAATCCAAATTGGTTAAAAACCCCAGAGGTAATCGCACTATTTCTGAATATCTCCAAGATATGCGCTCGATTGCAGATGATCTCGCACTCGCACAAAGCCCTATAGCCGAGGAAGATCTGCTTGTTCACATCTTATCTCAATTAGGTGACGACTACGGCACCATTGTGGCTGCCATAAAGGTTCGAGAAAATCTGCTATCTTACCCGGAACTCTTTGACAAATTAAGTGATTTTGAAAGAGCCCTCAAAGAAACTACACCAAACCCTGAACCACTTTTAGCTACTGCTAATTATACCACTCGCCAACAAGGACGACAACACTACTAGTACCCATCTGAATCCACTGGTCCACATAGAGGTGGCGGACGCAACAACAGAGGAACATGTCGCTCATCTTGGACAACACCTCACCCACATGGAGGCCGACAAAATCGCACCAGCAGCTTCTGCCAATTCTGTAATATTCCGGGGCATCATACTCAGGAATGTCGGAAACTATCCATATTTCTAAGAGACAACAACATTACCATCGGTAACCCCGGTTCAGCAACTCCTACAGCAAATGTCACATCTGGATCAACGCCTATTTCTCCAACCTGGTTATATGACAGTGGCGCCTCAAATCATGTCACCTTTGATCGGTCCACACTTCATAACATCTCTGAATATGGGGGACCTGATGAAATCATACTTGGTGATGGTAAAGGTTTTAAAATATCTCATGTTGGCTTTAAACACATTAACACACCACTCAAAACCTTATCTTTACCAAATGTGTTATGTGTTCCTCATCTACATAGAAACCTTATCTCCATTGTTAAACTGTGCAAGGCTAACCGAGTTTCTGTTGAATTTTTTCCCTCTCATTTTTTTGTGAAGGATCTTCGCACGGAGGCGTGTGTAATGCGAGGGGAGAACCTTGAAGATGTCTATTATGCTAACCTCCCATCCACATTGCAACTCAATGCCACCACCAAAGTCTCTCCACTTGGATAGCACCACAAACTAGGCCATCCATTCATTAAAGTATTCAAGTCTCTTGTCTCCAACATAGGTCTCAGTGCTAAGCAAATCTTTGATTATATGCATTGTTCCTCTTGTTCAATCAATAAAAGTCACAAACTACCTTTTGGTCCAAATTCATTTGTTATCACAAAACCGCTTCAATTAATATATTCTGATGTGTGGGGTCCTGTTCAAACTTCCATTGACAAATTCGCTTATTACGTCATTTTTGTAGATTACTACTCGAAATATGTTTGGCTCTACCATATGAAACGGAAATCTGATGTTGCCACACTATTTCCCTAATTCAAACTTCTTGTTGAGAAGTTCTTCCAAATACCAATTGTGTCAATCTTCACTGACAATGGCGGTGAATACCAAGGCCTTAAGCCGTTCCTACAAGCTCATAGCATCTCTCACTACACCACCCTGCCTCACACTCCTGAACAGAATGGTGTCGCCGAACAACGACACTGACATGTGGTTGAGACGGGACTTGCTCTTCTCCATTATGCCAAATTGCCACTCACCTTTTGGTCTCATGCCTTCCAAACCGCTGTCTATCTTATAAACAGACTTCCCACACCCATCCTCAACAACCAAAGTCCATTTCAACGTCTCTTTCACCAAACACCAAACTACACAAAACTCAAACCCTTTGGTTGTCTTTGTTATCCCTGGCTAAGGCCGTACACCAACTCCAAGCTACAACCACCATCGACCCCATGTCTTTTCCTAGGTTACTTCACCTCCAAATCCGCTTACATATGCTTTGACCCTACCACCCGTCGCCAATATCACTCTCATCATGTTCAGTTTATTGAATCTCAGTTTCCCTCCCATTCCTCCTCCACACTCACCTTGCTCACTGCCGATGATTTCTTCAAAACCCCACTAACCACTAATGCACCAAACTCCTCATCACCAACAGATTCATCTAACATATCATCATCTCATGCGACCCCTATACCTCCTGTCCTGCCACAAGAAATATCACGTCCAACATCACCATCCCATCCTCCAACCCCTACTTCTCAACCCACCTCACCAATGTTTGATGCTTCTCCTTTCCCTACACAGCCTTCTACTCCACATACCTCACCATCCACACCGCAAACTCAGCCATCCACTCCTGTTTCAACTCCCACCAATTTGTGTTCCACCCCAACCGTCTCCACTTCTCACGATGATAATTCCATCTATCCACCCACTTCACCTCAGCCAAAACGGACCAGAAATAAATACCCAAAATACTTTAATTCCTCTTTCATCAACTCCACCACCCTTCATCCCATTCCTTCCACCATTGAACCCAACACTCATACTCAAGCTCTCAAAGATCCTAAGTGGCAGCATGCCATGAATCAAGAGTTCAATTCCCTCATGTAAAATGGAACTTGGGAATTAGTTCCACGAGGTTCTCACACTCCGATTAGGAATGGCAACGGGCCGGGTTCGGGCCGGTTTTTAGAGTCCCCGTCCCCGAAACCGATAACCATAACCATCCCCGTAATCGTCCTGATCCCCGTCGGGGATCTTATCGAGGATTCCCATCGGGTCCTCGCGGTTTCCCCGATCCCCGTTGGTAACCCGTTAAGAGCAGAATAACCGTTACCCATTGGTTTTACACGAACCCGAATCCGAACTCGAACCATAACCCGAACCCGAATCTGGAAAAACACATATTTATCAAGCACAAAATTGGAATAAAAACATAATCAAGTAAACCTGTTTGGCTGTTTCTTGGACAACCATTATCGAACAAAAACATAATCAAAATAAACCTTGACAAAAAAATAATGACCATCATATTGAGTACATGATCAACCAAAAACGTCTTAAATTACAATCCCATAATAAACTAGAGTTTAGACATAATCCAACGAACTCGAAAGACAAGTAGACAAACTTGCTAGATTACTAACTTGAAACTGAGAACTCCCAAATGGCCAAACTCGTCAACCCAAGCTTTCCCTTTCCTAGCTTCCTATAAAATAAAATGTATGTAAAAGACTAAATAAATAAATATACCATAATCATTGTCTATAGTATTGTAATTGTAGTTACCTCTTCCACGTCATAATCATACTCAATCGTACGGCAATATGCTTCGGTCTCATCAGAACAAGTTTCTATAAAAAAACACAATGTAGTATAAATAAATAAAATGATTGAAATATTAAATATATAACTAAAAAGAATTCATAACTAAAACAAATATAAGATTACCTCGTATTTCATTCAATAGCCAACTTTGAGCACACATTAGAGCCTCCAATGTTTTTGGATGAAGTCGACTACGATGTGGAGTTACCAATCTTCCACCTGTACTAAATGCAGATTCCGAGGCGACAGTCGAAATGGGAACGGCTAATATGTCTCTAGCAATCCTTTGAAGTGTTGGTATTTAAACCCATTTGTCTTCAACCAAAGTAGCAAATCAAGTTCCATGTCTTTAGGCAAAAGTTTCTCTTTCAAATAATTATCCAATTCTGTTGTAATACCTGAATCATCATGCTGGTTGGCAATTGAAGCAATATTTGATGAGAGTTTTTTAAATTCAACCCGATGACTTGCTGAAGACCCTGAACTTAAAGAAGACGAACCATTAACACCTTCATTGTTGTTTCTTACGCTAGGATCACTAAGCTCATATTCTTGAAACAAAGTGTAGACCAATTCCTTGAGCTTCTCAAGTTCAATCGCCGATTTGTCTTGTCCGTACAACACAGGAAAAAGTAACTCCACAAACTTCAATTTATACCGAGGATCTAAAACCGCTGCCATTCCCATAATCCCATGTATAACAGACCAATACTTGTCAAACTTCAAAAGCATCTTTTTAGCCATGTTTCTAATAACTTCACTAGGAGAACATGACCAGTCGACCAAAGAATATCTAATTTAGGGTTCTGATTATGAACAAATAGATTATGAACGAAATCAAGTTGAAACCCATAATTTGGGGTTCCTCAATAACAATGGCAGTTCCACAAATTCATCATCTGGTTCTAAATTGCCCTCCAAAAAGGATACTAGTTCCACAACCCTAAGATCAAATAGTAGACTTAAGGAAGAGCTAGTGGATAGTAAGAAACGTGCAGGAACCTTGGGAAGATCTAAATCTCAATTGGCAAAATTGGTATTGAATACAATAGAATCAAGGCAATCTTTATTATATAGAGTTATATAGGATTTATATAGACAAGTCAATACAATAAATTTATAAACATATTACAGAATGCCTAAAATATTTATAATCTGAAGTATCTACCGTAAATGTAAAATGTAAATTTCTACTGTGAAGAATGGAAGTACTACCAGACTGTGAAGAATGGAAAGAATGGAAATACCTTCAATTGCAGCAGGAGAGAGCGAGAGACAGCGCCGGCGGGGAGTTAGGTCAAGGCGGGAGAGAGCAATACAGCGGCGACGGGGAGTTAGGTCGCCTGCGAGTGGGAGCGGCGGCCGGCGAGAGTCGTGCGGCTGGGGACTAGTGTCGTGCGGGAGCGAGAGTCGAGAGAGTCAAGCAAGAATGGAGGAGACAAAGAATGGTCGGATGAGGCGATGTCGTTGAGTCAAGCAGTAGTTTGTGTCTGTCATACAGTCATAGGTTATTGCCTTATTGGGCTACCATTGATAAGTTGTGCTGGAATATGTTATATGTTTTGGGCTACCATTTATTAAAGTGTAATTTATAAAATTTAAATATATTGTATATACTATCAGGTCGGTCCGGGTCGGTGAGTACCGTCCCCGTCCCCGATATAATCCCCGAAACTCTCCCCGATCCCCGCCCCGTACCCGTTAAGAGGTCCCCGAACCCGACCCGAATTGTTCGGTTTTCGGTTTTCACCGTCGGTTTCGGGTTTTTTTGCCATCCCTAACTCCGATTGGATGCAAATGGGAATTCCGGGTCAAAAGGAATCCTAATGGTACTATTTCAAAATACAAAGCTCGTTTAGTTGCCAAAGGATTCCTTCAACAATATGGGAAGAATTATTTTGACACATTCAGTCCAGTAACAAAACCTGTCACCATTCGAGTCATTCTCTCTATTGCTCTCTCTCAAAGTTGGCCCTTACGACAACTTGACGTGAACAATGCCTTTTTTCATGGAACTCTACATGAAGAAGTCTTCATGACTCAACCACCCGCATTCATTCATCCCTAATTCCCACACCACATATGCAAACTTCGAAAGTCTCTCTATGGACTTAAGCAAGCACCGAGAGCATGGTACTTGGAACTCACATCCTTTCTTCATACTTGTGGTTTTAGGAAGTCCAGGGCTGATGCTTCTCTCTTTATTTACAATCATGCCAACATTTTGTGCTTCTTTATGGTCTATGTCGATGACATTGTACTCACAGGCAACAATACCAACTTTCTAAACCAATTCACTCACTCTTTAGCCAACCGGTTATCCATCAAAGACTTAGGTCCCCTCCATCACTTCCTTGGTATTGAAGTAATTCCTACCCAACAAGGTCTTTTTCTCTCCCAACATCGTCACATTCAAGATATTCTCAACCAGTTCGATATGGATGGTGCAAAAGAGGTTGCTACTCCTCTTAACTCTTCAACTGTTCTCACCCCCATGGACGGGTCCCCAAGTGTTGATCCTACACCTTACCGGAAGTTAGTGGGCTCTTTGCAATATTTGGCGTTCACGAGACCAGATGTCTCTTTTGCTGTGAATCGACTTTCACAGTTCATGCACTCCCCGTGCCAACTTCACTGGCAGGCATTAAAACGAGTTCTTCGTTACCTAAAAGGCACAATTCATCATGGCCTATATCTTAAGCGTGGTTCCTCACTTGACATCAAATCATTCTCATATTCGGATTGGGGAGGGGTCTCCACTAGTGGTCGCTCAACCACTGCTTACATCATTTATTTAGACTCAAACATTATCTCATGGCGATCAGCACGTCAGAAATCTGTCTCCTGATCTTCCACAGAGGCGGAGTACAAAGCCTTAGCAAATACTGCGGCTGAAATCTCTTGGGTTCAACATTTACTTACAGACCTTGGCGTTACACATTCGTCCTCTCCTACGCTATTCTGTGATAATACGGGTGCCACGTACTCTTGCGCTAATCCAGTATATCATTCTAGAATGAAACATGTTGCCTTGGATTATCATTTTGTATGTGAAAAAGTAGCGGACGGTTCGTTAAAAGTTCTTCATATCAACTCAGCAGATCAACTTGCGGATGCACTCACAAAGCCTCTCAGTCGCAGCTCCTTCGTCCGTCTTCGCTCCAAGATTGGAGTATTAGACGGATCCTCCATCTTGCGGGGGTGTATTAAGACCAATAACACGATTGGTCCAATCATTTGATTTAATACTCTTAAATGGTCATTATTGTAAAATATTATTCCTCCTTTAGCTCCTTAGATAGCTCATGTAATTACTCATTTCCATTGTTGTATATCATCTATATAAACCTCCTATGTATTTAGTTTTGATACAATTGAATTTAATACAATACTATTTTTCCTCTATCTCGTTATAGTCAACTTCTTGATGATGCCAAACTAAAGCACTCTTTTTTTGCTCTATCGAAGAACCATCAGTCGCTTCGGTGTAATGCTCTATCACCGGCAGTGCCACTTTCTTCCAATTGACGTCTTCTGCTAAACCGCCACAAGATTCCCACTGAGAATCACTGCTCCACCTTGTTAACCACCCATGTTCTGCCGATAACCCAAGATTCTTACAGGAATCAAACCACTTACTTAACGAATCCTTCCCTCTCCCGCTAACAATAAACACCACATTCTTGGGGTCGTTAGACAGCACATTCAAGATCAAAGAACCTCTTTGCTCGGAGTTTTATCGACCAAAGCCTGCGGCATCACAGTGCCATCATAATCCAGTAAAATCAGGCGGCTATTCGTCTTCTTATAAGACGAAACAATATGTTCAACCGATAGTTTCATGAAGTTGAACCCAAGAGCCACGACTCGAAACCCCAAACCAAACCCAACCCCCCAACACTGCTTGTGAAAATGCTCCTTACAAGCCCTCTCAAGATCTTGGTCGAAACTCCGAGCCCAATAAGCAACATCATGAAAACTAACATACTTGTAGTGCTTCTCGTGACGCAGTTTCTTCTCATTATCCGGCATCGTGATGGCTAAACTCATGGCTTCCATAACCGAGTCAATGTTCCATGGATTAACCCTGATCGCGCCGCTTAAAGACGGTGAACACCCAATAAATTCCGACACTATAATCACGCTCTTCCGATCTTCAGAGAATCAAAACAACTATAAAGATGGCTAAACTCATGGCTTCCATAACCGAGTCAATGTTCCATGGATTAACCCTGATCGCGCCGCTTAAAGACGGTGAACACCCAATAAATTCCGACACTATAATCACGCTCTTCCGATCTTCAGACTCATCGATCCCTAAAGCCGTATCTAACTTGGGACTACTTTGTCTTGAAACCGTGTACTTGTAAGGCACCAAATTCATACCATCACGAATTGCATTCACGACAACACATTCATATATCGCATAGTATGCAACCTTATCATGTGTTGAAACTGGACCATTCACGAACACAATCGGACTGTAGCCAGCTTGACCAAACCGCTGGTTAACCTCATTAGCCACCTTCATGGTCTCAGTTTTGACTTTTTGAATGTCATGGCCCCTGCTTCGAGCCGGGTTCACGATCTGAACCAAAACCACTGAGCCCCTTAGTCCAGGATAGTCCTCCAAGAGCTGCCCCATGGCTAAAAACTTCAAGCTAATCCCTTTGAACATATCCATATCATCAACACCCAAGATCACAATCTTCCTTTCATACATTTTCTTCAGTTCTTTGACTTTTTTGGCTGTTTGATCTGAAGATTTCATAGATTCAATCTGACCCATATGGATTCCAACTGGTAAAATCTTGATACTTACTGTTCTACCATAATAATCAAGCCCAATATATCCTCTTTTAGACTTGTAATCAAGTCCAAACATTCTGCTACAACATGAAAGAAAATGTCTAGCGTAATCGAATGTATGAAACCCAATTAGATCACAATTCAATAGAGCTTGAAGGATTTCGTCACGAACTGGTAAAGTTCGATAAATTTTAGATAAGGGGAAGGGGTTGTGCAAGAAAAATCCAACCCGAACTCTGTGAAATATTTTCCTCAAGAAAGTAGGCATCACCATGAGATGATAATCGTTTATCTATACATAATCTTCATTTGGGTTAATTACCTCCATTACTTTGTCTGCAAATACCTTGTTAGCAGAGACATAAGCTTGCCATGCGACCCGGTTGAATCAGACTCCATGGTTTAGGTTCAAAGGTAACATGTAATGAAACAGAGGCCATAAGTAATGCTTACAGAAGCCATGATAAAATTTATTCTGGATTCTAAGAATAAGAAGGTGGGTAAGCATCGAAACTTGTCTAACAGCCTTTGAGCCACTTCTTCCTGCTCCGATGGGTCAATATCGACCGACAATGATCCGACATAAACGACCTCCACGTCTGGTCCAAACCCGAATTTGAGTTGGAGCACCAGTGCATCCGGGTCATATTCGAATACCTATTTGTTTATTTCTCCGTCACAGTGAGCTTTTACAGGTAACTGATTCGAAACAACGATCCGACGTTTGGGAGTAACAGATGAAATGACGCCAGATGAGTGGTGTGCTTCATTTTTCCCATTGAATTTGCCAATGTTATCTTCGTCAAATTCTGACAGAATTCCGGGGATGGTCATGAATCTGGGTATTCGAGCTTCATTTTCCCTATTGAATTTGCCAATGGTATTCGAGCACGATCAACAGCGCACGAATAATCATCAGGATTAAGCAAATTAAATGATGATCTTGACAACATTATAACACCCAAATGAAAGGAAATCAAAAAATTAGCTGATTGTTAAGAGAAATTAATGAAAGGGAATGTGATTTTTTTTCCAAGAGAATGGTATTGAGTGGGTATTACTGAGTTGTGAATGAATATATGACTAACGAAAATAAGAAAAACATGGGAATTTCATGGAAATTTGAATTTGTAGGTTGATTTGAAGAACGTAGAAAAGAAGAAGGTGGTGGTGTGGTAAAGAGGATAAGAACAAAGAAGTAGAGAGACTGACTTTAGTTAGCTCTGATTAATAAATAACCTATATAATTGAAATTGAAATTGGAAACCAAAATGAGGACAGGGATTCGGGTTTTCAGTGGGTCAACATTTGACCCGATTTCATCATCATCATCAATCCAATCCGTCTAATTTCTCTCACCTTCTAATGGTTACTGTCTTTCTCTCTCTCTCTCTCTCTCTCTCTCTCTAACTGATTGTTTACTTATTTTTAGAAGTTTATAAATCCAAATAAACTTTCAAGTCTTGATGCATAATGTAAAATTCTTATAATAATACTATTTTGGATTTAAAATTAATTTTCACTTTATGGCTAGATATTGTTTGATAGAAATAAGTTTGCTTTTTAAGTTAACCTATTTTTTGGATATATGTTTGAATGTACATAAACTAGTTTATTGAAATTCTACTTAAAATAACATTTTGAGAGTTTATTGTCATTTTTTCAATTATAACTCTTATTAATATTAATTATTATTTATTA